CACCAACCGTTTTAGTCGCCCTGTCGCCCCGTGTCCCTTGCCCCCGCCCGCCGCGCTGCTCATCGATGTCAGGTAAGCCCCTTCTCTTCTGCCCTCGACACTATGACAAGACAGCTACCCTTCTGTCGTATGTCCTCCTTTTTACTACAGCTCAAACCATCCCTTTCAATACCATGACACAGATGATGATGATAGCGCTTCGAGTCGCCCTTTCTAATATATCCCCGGTAATCCGCCACTTTAACCAACATCTGGCCCCTGCACTAAAGAAATATTTGCCTTTCCCCGAAGAGAATACCCACACCCCAACATACCGACAATGAATAACCATTTGTTATGGAGACAACATATCGATTTTATGCACCCATATGTCCTTTCCCCATGAAACCCGTCAAGTGTGCTGTCATCAGCCTCCCGATCGATATTTACTAAGGATAAAGAACAGCCTCCCAGAGAGACCAAGTAGATTTGGCCGCCATGGGGAAATGAATCATCCGCCACTTTTAACCAACAGCTGGCCCTGCACTAAAGAAATATTTGTCTTCCTTAAACCAATCCGCCTAAAAATACCCACACCCCAACATACCGACAATAAATAACCAGTTGCTATGGAGACAAAATATCGATGTTTATATGTCTGTTCTCTTGTATAGGTTGAGCGGTCGACCTTCGCTACCATGACATAGATGATGATGATGGTTCTCGAACCGCCCTTTCTAATACATCCCCGGTCATCATGCCGCCTTCCTAGTCGCCCCGGGTCCCCTGCCCCCGCTGCTCACCTAAATAGTGTCCCTGCCTGCCCCCGTTTTATATAACGCCACCTGTCACCTGCAGTTATGAAGATAATAATGCATCTACAAAGTATCGATTTCCTATACCTTTCCCTAAAACCAATCACTTGTGTTGTCATCAGCCTCCCGATCGATATTTACTGGCCCTTCGCATACCTCATTTTAATCTCAACACTTTAGACAGAGACACCTTTTTGAACGTACTCGATACACAAAAACCACAGGGAGGGACCATGGGCGGGTAATTACTACAGGTGACATACAGGGGTAGACAGAAAGAACTACAAGAGACCTACTGGTACCATAATTTTGTCTTTTCCCAAAGAAAATACCCTGGGAGAGACAAAATATCGATGTTTATATGTCTGTTCTCTTGTATAGGTTGAGCGGTCGACCTTCGCTACCATGACATAGATGATGATGATGGTTCTCGAACCGCCCTTTCTAATACATCCCCGGTCATCATGCCGCCTTCCTAGTCGCCCCGGGTCCCCTGGCCCCCCCCCCCCCCCCCGCTGCTCACCTAAATAGTGTTCCTGCCTGCCCCCGTTTTATATAACACCACCTGTCACCTGCAGTTATGAAGATAATAATGCATCTACAAAGTATCGATTTCCTATACCTTTCCCTAAAACCAATCACTTGTGCTGTCATCAGCCACACGATCGATATTTACTAAGGACAAAGAGGGTGGCTGTCCCGATCGATATTTACTAAGGATATATAAAGCCACACGAACAGACCAATCACTTTTGGCCGCCATCTTTTACTAAGGATAAAGAAGGTGGCTTAATCGAAATAATACCTCAATTACCGCACATAACTACTAATATACAACATGAGATATCAACGACATTGCAGAAAACCCACGTAACCTTGTGCCATGGTGACAGGTTCAGGAACTACCAATCAGAAGTGAGCTAGTATGTATATGGGCGGGGCGTGGGGAGACAAACATTACTTTAACCTTTACTTGTACTTGGGGAAATTCGATATTTTCTGTTACCAACCGGAACTTTCGTCATCATATTACTAGCCTAGGACAGCAGAATAACAGAGGTCATGACCCGAGCAGCGCGACTTGCTCTCGAGTCACGTAATTACCGACTTGCGACTGGTTTTTCCAGCGACTCGAGACTCCAGTTGCGACTTTCAACTTGCAGCTTCGACGACTTGATGCAGCTGGTTCTGTGTGGCCGGCCACTGTGAGGTTTGTTTGGTAATCAACGTCACAATTTAAAATGTTTTCATACACAATAAGATAGAATAAATTCTCTCTGGATTTATCAAGCTTTCACTCGACATATTCCGTTTTTTTTAAATGTACAGTTCAAAGAGTCTTTAACGCTGCAATTTCCCATTGTGTATTTTTGATATAACTGATTGATCCATAAGCAAAGCTTTCGTGCGGGACTTGCACATGATTCGAAACAGTTTCTTCTTCTCCTTTGTGTTCACCTGCTGTAAACTCTGACGAAAAGTTTTGGTTGTTCGTCCACTTTTGGACTACAGTCCTGTTCCAGAACCTGAGTGTTGCGTGCATGAAGTGACTTCACTTCGGACTCGATTCGTAACCATTCTTTGTGACTTGAGACTTGACTTAGGACTTTGTGGAAAGGATTTGAGACTCGAATTTGGGACTTTGTGGCAAGGATTTGAGACTCGACGTGGGACTATGTGGCAAGGATCTGAGACTCGACTTGGGACTCTGTGGCAAAGATTTGAGACTTGACTTGCGACTTTGTGGCAAGGATTTGAGACTTGACTTGGGACTTTTTGGCAAAGATTTGAGACTTGACTTGGGACTTTGTGGCAAAGATTTGAGACTTGACTTGGGACTTTGTGGCAAGGATTTGAGACTTGACTTGGGACTTTGTGGCAAGGATTTGAGACTCGACTTGGACTTGAAGGGTGGCGACTTAGTCAAAGCTATGTTCGGGATACCAGGAAAGTAGCTGATGTCAACATCAGTGGCTTACTTCTTTAAACTTTTTTCGGGTTGAACAGGGTATGTCGGATTTGCCTTGTTCGATTACTATTTAGGATGCATCGTTTGAAAGTGGTCAAATCATCAGTTAGTCAACAAGTTCGGGTAGCTGAACCTTTTGGTAACCACATTTTCAGGTAGCTAAACAATCAGATAGTCGAGTCTTTACGTAGCCAACTTTCGGGTTTAGTTTAGGTAGCCAAACCATTAAGTAGCCAAATCTTCAGGTATCTAACCAAACTCCACACAGAAAAACGTTTAGGTAGCCAAACGTTTAGGTAGCCAAACTTTCATGTAATCAAACCTTCAGGCAGCCACATATTTTTGTAGTCAAACCGTCTGGTAGCCAAACGTTTAGGTAGCCAAACCTTCATCTAATCCAACTTTCTGGTAACTAAACCTTAAGGCAGCCAAACATTTATGTAGCCAAACCTTCAGGTAGCCAAACTTTCTGGTAGCCAAACCTGTAGGTAATGGCCTGGGGGGAAAAAACAGACGAGAAGATTTCCACCCCAACTGATACATAGTTTTAACAAACAAAACAAAGTGTAAAACTACCTGACCGTTAAAACATTACAGGCAAGCGCAACAGAAACAAATTAACTCATTCTCTGTCAGGTAAATTAACACACACGAGTACTTACAGATAAGGCGAAGTGGCTGGGATTTGCATATCTGGTTGAGTGAAAGAATCGGGTAGGGGCACTTTCCTGCGGGCACACACCAGACGGACGTTCTGAGGCAGGTCCTTTAGAATGTCCACAACACTGACGTGGTTCAGCCCCAGCAGTAACTTGCCGTTGACCTGCCAGTAACGAAAGGAGGTTACGATAACTCGTTTGAACCCTCTAACGAAGCCCATCTAAACCCTCTAACTTTTATCTATAAGCTCATCTCACTTCTGTAATTTATCTCTAGAAGATCATCTAAATCCTCTAACTCACATCTAGAAGCTCATGTGAACCATCTAACACCTCTAGAGGATCATCTAAACCCTCTAACTCACATCTAGCAGCTCATGTGAACAATCTAAAATTTCTAGAAGATCATCTAAACCCTCTAACTCACACCTAGCAGCTCATGTGAACCATCTAGCACCTCTAGCTCATCTGAACTCTCTAACTCACCTCTAGAAGCTCATCTGAACCGTCTAACTCACCTCTAGAAGCTCATCTGATCTCTCTAACTCATCTCTAGAAGCTCATCTGAAGTCTCTAACTCACCTCTAGAAGCTCATATGAACCCTTTAACTCACCTCTAGAAGCTCATATGAACCCTTTAACTCACCTCTAGAAACTCATCTGAGCTCTCTAACTCACCTCTAGAAGCTCATCTGAACCCTCTAACTCACCTTTAGAAGCTCATCTGAACTCTCTCTCACCTCTAGAAGCTCATCAGAGCTCTTCAACCTGCCGTTCAAGCTTATCTGAACTCTTTAACTCACCTCTAGAAGCTCATTTGAACTCTTCAACCTGCCGTTCAAGCTCATCTGAACTCTTTAACTCACCTCTAGAAGCTCATCTGAACTCTTCAACCTGCCGTTCAAGCTCATCTGAACTCTCTAACTCACCTCTAGAAGCTCATCTGAGCTCTTCAACCTGCCGTTCAAGCTCATCTGAACTCTTCAACTCACCTCTAGAAGCTCACATGAACCCTCTAACTCACCTCTAGAAGCTCACATGAACCCTCTAACTCACCTCTAGAAGCTCACATGAACCCTCTAACTCACCTCTAAAAGTTCACATGAACCCTCTAACTCACCTCTAGAAGCTCACATGAACCCTCTAACTCACCTCTAGAAGCTCACATGAACCCTCTAACTCACCTCTAGAAGCTCACATGAACCCTCTAACTCACCTCTAGAAGCTCACATGAACCCTCTAACTCACCTCTAGAAGCTCATCTGAGCTCTTCAACCTGCCGTTCAAGCCTACAGGACCATCTGGAAGTATTGACCTAATGTAGTGATGTGGTCGAACCTCGACCCCGTTCTCCACATCTACCGTGCCTTCCAAGCTGATGCCCAGACCACCCGCTTCTTTGAACTTGGCTAGCTGGGCCACCTGTAGGTCAAGAAACAATGCAACAGTGGTCAGACAAGCAGGTGTTACTAATTTAAAACAAAAACAAAACACAAATCGGAACTCTAGAAGTGATGTTGTCGACATTAAACTGACCGCCTTTACTTCCCATGGCTTTACCTAGTACTCGTGTAATGTTGTGTCTACCTGGTTGTTGCACAGATCAGTTTTTTAAAGAGGGACGGGGAGGGAGGGGGGGGGGGGAGATGGCGGTGGTTCCGTTCGGATATGGCCTGGCTATATTAAGGGATCAGACAAAAGTCAGGGTAGGGCTTCAAATAACGAAAAATTGCATCCCACAAGGGGACGATTTGTATACTACACTGCTACCCATTATTTATGGCAGTTAAGCACGAGAAAAGCTGGTGGGTGGGGGGGGGGGGGGGTGGTTAAGGTCGTGTGGCCGTGTTAAGGGTAAGTTAAAGTCGAAACTATCGGATTTACTCGATGAAACTGTTTCAGGTCGGGATCAAACAAATCCTAACCGACACACTTGGTAATGGATGCACTAGCTCTGTAGATTTCCGTGGTGAAGTGGTCAGGCCTTTGGCCTCACGTTCTGAATGTCGTGGGTTCTCTCCACGGGTGCGTCGTTTAGTTCACGCGTGCAGTTTCTTTTGAGATCCCTGAGTGTCGTTGCTGACTTTTCGGGGTTCGTGCCTTGGGTGACGCTGGCGCTTGTCACAGGGACTAGCCGGTCTGCAAATAGAGTTGGTGCTATAAGCGGGGTGCAGTAAATCCGATAGTTTCGACTTTAACTTACCCTTAACACGGCCACACGACCTTAACCACCCCCTCCCCCCCCCCCCCACACCACCAGCTTTTCTCGTGCTTAACTGCCATAAATAATGGGTAGCAGTGTAGTATACAAATCGTCCCCTTGTGGGATGCAATTTTTCGTTATTTGAAGCCCTACCCTAACTTATAGCACCAACTCTATTTGCAGACCGGCTAGTCCCTGTGACAAGCGCCAGCGTCACCCAAGGCACGAACCCCGAAAAGTCAGCAACAACACTCAGGGATCTCAAAAGAAACTGCACGCGTGAACTAAACGACGCACCCGTGGAGAGAACCCACGACATTCAGAACGTGAGGCCAAAGGCCTGACCACTTCACCACGGAAATCTACAGAGCTAGTGCATCCATTACCAAGTGTGTCGGTTAGGATTTGTTTGACCCCGACCTGAAACAGTTTCATCGCCTTATCGAGGATTCGAACCTGGGTGGCACAACTGTGGGTCATATGATCTAACTCGTTTTCCAGTCACCACTCAACGATTTTACAGCTATGTGGAAATGTTCAAATTAACATCACAATAAGCAAAGCTGCTTACGTTCTTCCCAAAATTACAATGACGTGTACCTAACTCTGTCGACACCAGCCGGTGTCCCAGCAAATGGTCATAGTAGAGGGTGAAGCCACGATGAGAAACAACAGTGAATGTACCATTACAATTCTGAATAAACCGTGAAAGACAATATCGTAAAAGCCAGATACCATTAAAAGTCTGAATATACCGTGAAAGACAACAACGTAGAAGCCAGAAACCATCAAAAGTCTAAATATACCGTGAAAGACAACAACGTAGAAGCCAGAAACCATTAACAGTTTGA